GGACCCTCAACCAAGTCCCTAAGAATGATTAACAGGTAGGAAGGGAAAATCCCATTTTTAGCACATCTGCAAGCTGGCAAAACAGGACCTGGCTCAGTATCCATGACAACACTGCTGATGTGCTGCTAAAAACAAGGAGAAGCATTAAGTTTTAATATCTGTAAAAACAACTGAATCAGTTTACCTCTGCATCTTCTCTATTGGCTGAACTTTTAATTTTTTTTAAAGGTAGGTCTGGATACACACATTTGTAATGATGCAAGATTCCAGTATGGCCAAGCAACTTCGGTCAAGGATATCTCTAAGATAACTGAAAAAAGTTCTCATATGTTCATCTAACTGGAATTGTTTAGGAGAGAGGAAATCCCTTTCATTAGGTAACGGGATACAGCTGGAAAGACAAGGTTTGAAACGAAGCGTATTTACAACATACACTAGTTTTAAAAGTGAAGTCATCCGAAGAAGTTCTTTTTTGAATCAGATTTGCAACACAGCCCACGAACAGCAAGAGGGGGGCAAATGCACTGCAGAGGTGCGTCTGGTAGATGTTTTTACTTTAGGTGGTAGGAAGGATGGACTCTGACAAAATTTATTTCCATGTAGAATCTTCTTTCCAACTACATGTAATTGTGAATTTTTTTTCTGTATGGATACTGCATGGTAATGTATAATGGAGAATTTAATTGATGGATATTTTTCTGTAGATGAATGATTAGAAAACAAATTGTCAGGATGATGTGGGTTAAAACACTAAGAAACTAAAAATATGTATATTTAATTCTGAACCCTAAAAGAGGTTTACCTGCCAAGACAATTCCAAGGTATGTGTATCCCTTGCAACAGGGGATGACTGTTCCAGCACCTAAAATAAAGAAAGAAGGGAGTCACCCAGAACAGGGAAAGTTGAGACATATAAGCAGCGATAAAAAAAGCATTAGCTTACAAAATTCAAAATCATGGAAAAGAACTCAAATGGCTATTCAGTGCAAGGGAAATATTTGGAAATAAGCAGAACTGAAAATGACCACTGCAGGACAACAAATCAGATGAGTTTCCATGAAGTACAACCAACATACTTAGTGAAGTTCTGGGACAATTCATACCCACAGGAACAGAAAGAATGACCAGTAAAATCACACCAGGAACAGTGTATTTTGTTCAGCACATGTTTATCCCACAGAACAGTGGTAAATAGGGCTATAAACTCAAGCAAGATGGTACTGAACATAAACCATCTAGCTGTATTTATCAGGAAAATTATGATAATCTACATAGCCAAGCAAGACTTTATATATATATGGAGAAAAAAAAAAAAAGGCTTAGGAAAATACAAAACTATCAGAATATTTCAGCAGAATTCATTGTTGCCAAAGTTTCTGAAAACTAAGTTCTGTTTAACTGCAATGAAAGAGACTTGATTCAGAATGCCAGAAGAAACTGACACCAATTATATGCGTGGCACTTGATCCCAGCTCTACAAAGCTCTCCAAAAAGGCTACAGCCCTGGGCCTGACTCACTGCTGAGGCTTTGCTGTCACCTGCAGAAAAGAGGAGGGAGGGAAAAGTCTGCCAGATGTGCGGGTGGCTCCTCAAAATGGGGAAACACAGCTGCCTGGCAGGATGGCTTTTTAGATTTTTATGGTAAGGGGGTGAGAACTCTGGTATTTTATGTTTATTCTATGACATTTAGATCCTCCTGTCTTTCAAACCTTTGTAAATTTTCCCACACCACGACACAAATATTAACAAGAAGTGTTACTGTTTGAGAAGACATGTAAGTGCTCTCTTCCCATTATCTGCAAACATTCTGCTAACATCCGGTCTTCTTCAAATGATTAGCACACCAGTTAACACAATCTTAGCCAATAACTGGCAACTACTGCCTTTCAAAGACCAGCTTGTCATTTAATATGAAATCAGCGAGCCCTCCAGTGGCTATTTTAAACCTTACATTGTTACAATACCGTAAGAAAAACTATTTATATATAAGTGGTTTGCATAGGTTCAATTTAAATTCAGTCATCTACTACGTTAAACATCATTTTGTAGCAAACTATTTAAAGACTTTATAATACATGCAAATAGATGTGTTTTCAGTTTACATACATTTGTTTTCACTGCTGTGTATGTACACAATTTACAAGTGACTCATGTTAAACATTTGAATAACATCACAAAAATCAGCGAGGAATATTTATATAAAAGGAAGGAGAAGAAAAAAGAGCCTATGCATTCAGCTCGAATTCAAAATCCTAGCCTAGAATCCTGTAGTATAGAAATGCTACCTCTGGACACTACAAACATTTGGAACAATTAATAATTCATTCACATGCTCTTACAATACAAAACACAGCATGCAGCAGATTTAACATAAACCAAATATGCTTGTTTCACATAACAGTTCTCATGAAAGAACTTCTTCAGCCATGGAACTCCTTCCAAAAAGATACTGTGGAGACAAAAGGTTTGGTCCAAAGATAACTGGAAAATTTATGAAACAGAAATCCACCTGTACCTGTTATTTGTAAAGAAATTCCTCATCGGTAATTCCTAGAGTCTAGAGTAATCTGGGAATGTATCATCACATACTTCTTTGACTCTGCACTCTTTGACTACAGAAGGCATCCATTATAGAAAGCTGCAGGGGGATGTTAGCCTAAAAGGACCTTTTGTCAGGTCTGGACTTACATTTTTAAGTTTAAATAAAACCTTTACTCAAAACTATTTAAGCAGGTGTCAAACAAAAATCCAGTAATCAAAGATTCCACTACAGGTATCTTGCCACTGGTCCACTCTGAATACTGACGTGTTGCACAGCCTACAGGAAAAATTTGAGCAAGATTGTGCCTCATTTGACAGCATCTTCTCGAGCTTGACTCTCCAGTCATTATACAGTATGATCCTGAATTTGTTATACCAGCATCAGTTGCTATGGAAATCATTGTTTGCTAAATTATCATTATTGATTCTGTTTAACATGCTAATACTTCAGTGTGGCTCCTTTTCAGATCTGAGCTGTAATCTTTAGACAAGGTTCTGAACACTCCACAGGAAAATCCATAGAAAGAGCTAGAGAGAATGAAATCTCAACGAAACGACACAGATCAACACTAGCCTCCAAGATCTGCAAGGATCTGAATGGACTGCGAATACTCCATATCTCTACACCCACCTTGCAAGGTGGGCTTTTCTAGACTTGGGAGTAATTTATTCAAGAACACCTTCAAAATGCAGTTCTTAAACCAGCACAGGTACTGGAAGAAGCATACATCATACCTGGCTCTATTTCTCAAGTCAGTTTATCCTCTCTCAGATGGAAATCCTCAGTAATTCAGATGGAGTATTTTCAACACACCAGCTTATTTACATAGAGTTAAACCATGTATACATTGCATCACTTTTTTAGTTTCTCCATGACCTCGTTCACATTTTTGTGTGAACTGAGAAACAAACCAGAAATAACCTACTGTTTTCATTAACTCAGGGGAGGTTAGTTAGCACACAAACAACTCAATGCTTATGAAAATATTTTTCAAATTGAGTAAGGTAATAAATTTAAGTATCTAAACTGAGGTAAACTGATTCTGAAGATAAAGCCTGCAAAGACAAATAATATTATGCATATGAGTAGCCTAAGCCTGTAGGATCAGTGCTTTGACAATTATTTGTGTTGTGAAATGCTAGGCAAATACCACACAAAGCTGGAAATAAAATCACAGTCAAATAAAGATTACTGAATATCAGAACTAAGTGAGACTGATTTTCTGCTGACTCGTGGCTTGTGAATGATCGTTTTTACTGTCCCAGAAGGCATGTGCACCAAAGGCTGAAATGTATTTACCACTGAGGCATTTATATTAAGTCTCCTTTCCAATCCAGATTCTTTGGTGTCTACTAAAATGTGAGTTTACCTGTTGTGTTGTCCCCCATCAGAATGTTTCTGCTTTATTTGGCCACCTGTTGTTACGAAACTTGCAAGAGTAATATTTACCAACATTTCTGTTAAGTTTGACCAAACCTGCCAATAGGTTCAAAAGCTAATGGAAGATCAAAAACTGACAGAAAGTACAACTGTTTGAGCCTTCCTTCCATAGGAAACATTAAAAACATAAAAACACAGGTATCAGTTCATCAATGTATTTTATGAATGTGATTCACACTGAAAACAGAACCACTCTGTAAGTACATTTAACCTGAATTTTCCAAATATCTCACAAACTTGAACAGAAAAAGCAGCAGACAGTTATAATCAGGAACTGCTATGCACATCACAGATGGGAAACTTATCTTCCCCTTCTGACAAAAAGCACAGAAAATATTTTATCCACCATAACTTACATCCTGAATTCTGGACGTGCAATAGTAAGGTATATACAGGCCTTTCATTATAACACATTTTTATTTATCATAGCCCACATAACTCTGCAGATGGCCTTGGTTACAAGTAACAGGTTACACAATGAATTTAAATCTGCTCCTCTCTATAGAAACACAAAATCATTCAAAAACCCCATGTTAAAAATCATGCTGACCATCTTTAGTCCTGAAGAGGCTCTATGCTGACTCAGATTACTGCCGCGCAAAACTGTGTCTGCATAACACCTACAGAAGACAGATAAGCTCAAGAATATTCTCTTCATGCTTTTGCCATTTTTATGTTGTGTTTAGCAGCAAAAACTGGACAGGGTTTCGAGCAGGAGCATTCTTTCCAGTCAAGCAGCTCATGTGTTTCTCCTAACACACCTATGCCCCTGAGGCCATGCAGGACCTCATCAATCTGTAATATGGCATATTTCTTCGATATATACTTTCGTAGAATCATAGAACCACGGAAATCCAACCCAAAGGGTTGGAAGGGACCTGCAAAGGTCACTTAGTCCAACCTCCTTGCAATGAGCAGGGAACACACACCTTCAACACAGAAGTATGAGTGTATGGTAAGAACTAATCAGCAGCTCTTCTCTTTAATTAATGTATTTGTGGTTTGATTCACCTCTGACCTGGTTCAGACACTTCAGAGTTAGGATCTGGATCCACCACCTAATGATCCTAATTCCAGAAACTAACTTATTTGAATATGAAGATGTACCACAAGTCAAATTAAAAGATCATTCTTGAGCACCGGAAAAAAAAATAAAAATAAAAAAAAAAAAACAAAACTGTTCTACAGTTTAGAGCTGGCAAAAGTTCCAATGCAAAGACATAAATGACTCAACCACAGAAAACAGGCCTGAAAGAAATCACTGCTTAGAGACAGAATAAGTTGAATCTAAAATATTCCTGCAGCATTTTTTTTTTTTTTTTAATGTTTTAGATAACTAAACTGGGTACTGGTAGGAAATGTTTCCTAAGGTTTTGTCGCAGTTTAAACCCAGGCGGTAACTCAGAACCATGCAGTCACTCACCCACCCTGACTTTCCTCTCCCAGGTGGAATGGGGACAAGAATCAGAAGAATGTAAAACCCATAGGCTGAGATAAGAACAGTTTAATAAGTAAAGTACAATATAAAACTACTGCAACTTCTACTAATAATAATGAGAAGGGAAATAACAAGACAAAATAATATAAAAGGGAAAATAAATTTAAAAAATAAACACACAATAAACACCAGTGATGCACAATACAATTGCTCACCACCACCATCTGACCGATACCCAGCCTGACCCAAGCAGCGATCTGCCCCTCTGGGTAACTCCCCCCCCAGTTTGTCTGCTAGGCATGACATGCTGTGGTATGGAATACCCCTTTTGCTACTTTGGGTCAGGTGTCTCTGCTTCTTCCTGGCTTCCCATGCCCCTCCTCACTGGCAGAGCACTGAAGACTGAAAAGTCATTGACAGGGTAAGCATTACTTAGCAACAACTGGAACATCAGTCTGTTATCAGCATTGTCTCAGACTAAGGCACTGCAGTGCACCATCTACTAGGAAGAAAATTAACCCTATCCCAGCCAAAACCAGAACACTTCTAGCCCAAAGCTGCCTTGACAATGTGCATTTTTATTCTCTGCACAATGGATACAAAACAGTTTATTCCCTTCTTTGCAGTGTGACTGTCATAGCCTTTGTGTGTAACAACATGCCAAAGAAAACGCTGAAGAACCCTGTTTCACACCGTATCACAGTGTGGCTAAGGTTGGAAGGGACCTCTGCAGGTCATTTGATCTGACATCCCTGCTGAGGCAGTGCCACCAAGGGCCCACTGCCTAGGACCATGTCTAGAAGGCTTCAGCAGATCTCCAAAGATGGAGTCCAGCAGCTCTGGGTAACCTGTGCCAGTATCCCACCACCTCACAGTAAAAAGTGTTTCCTGATATTCAAGGGGGACATCTCATGTTTCAGTTAGCGCTCACTGCGTCTGGTCCTGTCACTAGGAACCACTGGAAAGAAGCTGGCTCTGTCTTCTTTACACCCTCCCTTCAAAATAAGTTTTTACACATGTTGATAAGGTCCCCCCCCAGTGTCCTTGTTATCACTATTTAACAAGCTTACCACTCAGCAAGATTATTACTTTATTTTAGTAATTTTAGAAATGATATCCCTAACATTACAGTTTTTATTTTAGGAAAAAGATACCAAATTAATAGTAGATCTTCATAGATTCCTGGTACTGTTGCATTATTCTTCATTCACCAGTGCTTTTAAGTCTTGCCAGGGAAAAGAATTCATGAAAAAAGAAGTTGAAACGGCACTCCAATACCAAATAAGATCTCATAACCCTGGCTTACTAAAGCTAGTATGCTAGTTTTGTTAGCTTTATGTCCGGGTTTTGCAGTCCTGTCAACTGCCTGACAAATACAGCTACTCAATCCTGAGGATCAAGGATTTTCAAAACAATTTGATAGGTCACATAGTAAACTGGGCAAGTATCTGCCTAAAACACCTTCTAATCATCTTCAAAATTATTATTTGATACATACTGATGCAAAGGGTGAACAAACGTACAGGGGCGTTAGGGTTGAGCCACTCGCTTAACAATGTTACTGCTTGCTCATGCTTATTGTACATGGTATTTGCAATGTACAAGGGGACAGGTCAAACTGCTTACTTAACAACGTTACTGCTTGCTCATGCTTATACTTGCAATGCACAACAGATAGATCAGGACGCTTGCTTAACAACATCACTGCTCACTCATGATTATGCTAGGACAAGATATAAGGACATAGCTACTGTCAAGAAGCAGAGTCCGTGTCCCGATTCCCGTCCTCTGGACACCTAGGCCGGCTGAAATTGGCTCTGCAGTTTGAACAAAGACCAAGCCTCCAGGGAGCATGCGTAACGACCAGAGGTGAAAAGTTCAGGCGCGAGGAAAACTCATTTACTTCATCTTGAGACCCTCGCTCACGACCACTAGGAGGCATTGCATAGGCACAAAGGACTCCTTAGCTCATTACAACACGAAGCTGGAATAGGACATGAATACGTATAGGCGTCTTGTACAACCTCATGCATATGTGTAACTTTAGAGGATAAAGGTAAAGGGGAAACAACGCTGAGGGGCACATGCTTTTGGAGGAGCCATCCCCTATGTGCCTCAGCACTGAATAAAGCATACCTACTTTACAACTTTAATGAGTTGTGGAGTCTATCCGTGCATCAATGTAAGTATTTGCAATAGAAGGAAAAGTTGCTTTACAGAGACTCCAGGCTTTTACTTTCTTAGTGAACTCAAAAGAGGCTTATACATGGGTTTTCATAAAGGTCAATTTTCTCTAATGTTCACTATGCACGAGATACACTAAAAGGTTATAAACAAAGCACAGAGATGAAACAGTCTCCATATACAGCAGAACCCCTTCATCATGATCTTTTTTTCCACTATTAAACACCATCTGTAACAGAAATTGTGCACTTTCTGCCTGAAGTGCTCAAAAGTAAGCTGTGCTCCCTGAAGCAAATTATAAGCCAACAAATATACTCTGTTTTGAATAATCCAACCCATATCTTAGAAAAAATACCACTGCTGGATTATGACAAGGACGCCTTTTAATGGCTACAAGGCGTAAGCCTGGTTTAAACTTTAGCATTTAAAACATAAAGCTGCAGCACCAGTAAACCACCACGAAGAACAGTGATCCCTGCCAATACATGTTGGTGCTCGTGTCTCACATGACTTCAATTACTCTTTTCTTCCCCATCAGAAGTTTTCAGGCAGATGCATTACAAGATCACACACAAGACCTGTGTTCCTGGTAGCAAAAAACTAACTAGTTTTCTTTTACTAGAGGCCAAGCAAGAGGTGGCAGACCACAGGCGGGGGCACAGAAGCTGAAGGCAACGGTGGTGTCAGTCTTTGCGGCAACGTTCCTACCACACTTACCTCACAGCAATCTACTTATGTGTATCTGTATCTATAGATATATGTATATCTAATCTCTTACGTGCAAGCAACACTACTGGAGTTCAGGGAAGTGCAGAACTCAGTATTAACTCACACAAAAAGCCTAGTGCCAAAAATAAAGTTCATACTCTAGGAACTTAACTGCCTTTTACTAAATCCCGGTAACTTACTACCACGGTTACCGCGCTGTTTTGCAGGGTTAAGAGCGTTTGTAACGTTTTAACAGTGTCCACAAGCTCTCAACACACCCGCACACCATGCGTATTTTCTATTTGCACTCTGAGCAAGCACCAGCTTAAGCAGAGCAGTCGCTACGGCCTTTCAAGTCAGCAGAGCAGCCGTGTTTGTGAAACAGCCGCAGCCCCGCACCCGGACGAGCTCACAGAACCTCCCCGGCCCCAGGATACGCAGTAGAGATGCCACCACGGCACAGCACATACGTACTTTAAACATGACGCTTTACTAAACAGGCAACAGGACACTCGCCCTCCCTCCCACGGCCGGAACCGCAACCGCCAGCCCGAGTCAACACCCAGCCCCTAGCCCCCACCACGGACCAAACCCCCTAACCTTCCCCGGTCTTCCCTTGCTCCCCTCCCTCCGCCTTGCTCCCCTCCCTCCGCCTTGCTCCCCTCCCCGTACACTCTAGAAACTGCTGGAACCGCCCGCCTGCGACAGGCCAACCACAGCGACCCTGCGCCCCGCCCTTCGCCTAATCGTCATCTCTGACGTAAGGCTCCCCGACAGCTTCCGGCCATTGGTGGGCGGGCATTAGAGTCACGCGGCGGTTCGACGGGCAAGGCGGCGTGACACGCTATTGGCTCTCCCTGCCTCGCCAATAGGAGTTGAGCAGTTGGATTCAAACGGTAGCGGGGTGGGGAAGTGGGTTAGGGTTCGTGGTGTTTGTGGGGAGGGTTCGTTCGGTACGGTCTCACTGCCGCAGCCAGCTATGGACTCCAGTCAAATCTACTATTCCGACAAGTACTCTGACGAACAGTACGAGTACCGGTACGAGGCTGCTGGGGGAATCAGCAACGGGTTCCTGCTGGGCCTTTCGGGGCGGAGGGAGCTTGGGCAGGCGCCTCTCCCGCGGCTTGTGCGACTTTCTCGGGCGTTGCGCTCCGCCGCTGGCTGCAGTGAGCATGGCTTTGGCTGCCGTGGGGCCGGAGGGGCTACGGGGCGCGGCCGCGGCTCTCCGTGGTGGTTTTGTGCACCTTTCTACCAGCGGTGGGAGGGGGTGGTCATGGCCGGCCTTCCTGGGCCATCCTCTGGTGAGCGGGTCATGCAGGCCCTAGCCAGAAAGTGCTGAAGGAGGCGGCGGCCGACCCGCCGCGCCTCACCAGCGAAATGTCTGTGGCGGAGCCGGGCTAGCCTAGGGCGGCGCTGCCGGCGGTGAACTCTCGGCTCCTGCCTCCGACAGCTGGGCAGCGACCCCCCCGCTGAGCCCCTGGGGTGGCCACAGGCATCCTCTCCGCTGATGGCTTTAGCAGCAACCGCGGCGGACGTGGCCCGCCCTGCGCCGCGTTCGGTGCCATAGAGAACTGGAACAGGGAGAGCGTACTTCGTAGTTCAGGGCACCGCTTTGTGCTGTCCCATTTCGCGCTCTGAATGCGGGTGAAGCACGCGTTTATTAAAGCGCCGGGTTCGAAGGTATTCCTTAAGGCGACGTCAAAACACAGCACTAATAAGTGCAGATCATAAAGCCTTCCAGTCAGCGTTGTAACTGCTAGTTTTCAAAGCCGTGTTACAGCACCACTTCTGGATTATAGCTGGTAACAACAGTATGGTTCAGTCCTCTAGGCACGCTTGAAAGTGCTACTACAAATCAAGTTTTCTTTTCCTCTCTGTGGAGATACAGCTCTTACCAGCTGTCTCTTACGATATCAAAAAAGACTGAAGGCTTTGCTTTCTGTTAAATGAAAAACAAAACTGCAAATGTGGAAGGCATTTGTAAGTTATTCCTCAGCTGAGAGATGAGGGGATTAAGTGATGTTCGTGTTCTTTCCAAACCAGCACTGTAGGGTCTGTGGAAAATACACCATTCGTTTTAAAATGCAAGCAAGAATGACTTTATCAATCATTCTCAAATTTCAAAGGCCTTATTTTTGAAATAGATATAGCCAGTTACCAGGAACACATATGTGTAGAATGATTTAGGAACTAGGCTGACTGTTTCAATACACAGTTGCATTATAGAAGTAATGTTTAGTAGACAAAGTGGTTTTAAAACTGGGTTTTGGGACAGGTGCTTCATAGTCAAATTAGTGGTATGGGTTAGTACCCAAGGCTTCTCTACTGAGAACATGGGTATTCATAACTGAACTTGCTTACTGTCTTACAGTATAGATTTGTGCAAGTTTTCTACTGTATGCAAGCATTACTGTATATTGTGTGTGTTTAATAATTAAATCTTTACAGACATGTAGTGCTGCCCAGAGAACTTTCAAAACAAGTGCCAAAATCCCATCTGATGTCTGAAGAGGAGTGGAGACGACTTGGAGTTCAGCAGAGTCTTGGCTGGGTTCACTATATGATCCATGAGCCAGGTAAGCACATCTGAGCAGAACTACATGAGCAAAAAATGTCTAAAATGTCAACTGCCTGGTGCTCAGCTGAAGTGTGTAGTGCATAATTTCTCCTGCTGTGGAAACCAGCTGGAATTCACTCCTCTTATCTCCTTGCTATTTTAGCCTTTTTTCCACAAAGGCAACATAACACCCTTTATTTTAAACCTTCATATCTTCCTCCCAGAACTGTAAAATGCCAACCTTGTCCTGGGTATGAGGACATACATGTAGACAAAACATGCCAGACTGGAAACTGTTCTTACCTCTGCCTATAGAAGTAGGTTTCTTGTGACCTCCTGAATAATACCAGTAGCTTGGCGACTGAAGCAAATTTTATGCAGTACCATATCTTTAAAGCAAAAAATGTGACATACCTACTTTTTATGCAAAAACTTAATAGATGGTCAGGTAGACAATGTCCTGAAATCTCTGCGGTACGGTTTGAACTCTACTTACAGAGCCTACTAAAAGCAGCACTTTAAAGCAGTTTCTCAGTTATTAGAGTGTGAAGCCCTAAAACTCTACCAGATGGGATGAAAACAGCCATTCAAGGTAACTTACCCTTGACAAGCCTGACTAAAAGGTAACTGGTGACAGGTGAATTCCACCAATATGAAGTTCCAAGAAGAAATTAGTGTAACCTTCCAGTGTTTCCCTTACCTGACCACATTTGACATCTTAGGCTTTTTTGGAAGAGTTTACATTTAAGTCAGGTTAATAATGTAAAATGGCTGTATTAAGTGGCTTTTGTTGATGCTTGACACTACAGTTTCCTAGTATAAGTTAAAGTAACAGAGTTTGGCAAGTAGACTACTGTGGAGAGACAGTTAGTAACAATACTAACTAAAAAATAGGTTTTTTTTTTCTGTATTTTTCCCAGTACTTGCATCCTGCAAGTATCTTCAGTTTACAATGGTAACAACATCTGGTATAAAACTTTCAAAAGCACTGGTTTGACTGTTGTAAGGTTACTGAAAAGTTGTTCTGTTAATACTACACATGGGGCCATATTTGTGGGCTTCTCAATCTGTTTATTACTGACAGTGAACTTCAACTATTGTTCAAGACTTGCTAAATGGAAGAAATTCCTGTAATCAAGCCTTAGGGGACAGACTGACACTGTTCAATTTTATTTCTGCAGAACCGCATATTCTCCTCTTCAGAAGACCTCTTGCAAAAAATAAGCAGAAATGAACCACTATCTGTAAATCATCTCCTGGGATTATGTATATGAGTGTATATATGTTGGTAGTATTCAGTGAATAATTTAAAATGTACAAAACATACCTGTGGATGAACTGTATTAATCACAGCAACAAAAGCTCAGTTGAGTGAAATTCCAAGTAGGCTGCTATGGTGTTTAAAGGGTGAAGTATTCAACTACTAAATCTTAAGTGCCTGTCTGACCTTTTCATAAGTTTTCTGACTAAATTGTCACTTGTCCTGTGTTCAGTGTTTGCACTCAGCTTTTATGCTGAAGCATACCATGTTAAAATCTGATTAATTTAGAAATAAACTATTTTTAATGTTCTAAATTTAGAAATAAAGTATCTTTAATGCTCTAAACCCTAAGTGTGTAGAGTTTTAATTCATCAGACAAAACAAATATTCGTGTCTAACAATTAAGACATGAACTTATTACCATTTACTTCAGAAAAAAAAAAGTTAACTTGTTTTGTTTCTCTGCAAGAATTATTTTGTCCAAGAGGGCAAAGTTCCTAAACTTGATTTGAATTGGGAACTGCCAGAAGTCTGGAAAGAAGGCTGGCAGAAATAGGTAATGCTCAGAGTGACTTATGATGTGCTCAAGTCATGGGATGCAGTAGTTGATATATGTTATAGTGGTATTATTCTGCAATGACTATTTGTCATCCTGCTTCTCTGGAGGTGTCTAGTGATACGACAAACAGGAATGGCTTAATAATGCATCTGTAGAAGCTCAGAAGGAGTTATTCACAGAAAGGGTGGTCAAGCATTGGAATAAGGCCTCAGGGAAATGCTTGCAGCCTGAGCCTGTTAGTGTTTGACATGTTTGGACAACTCCCTCAAAGATACTGTTTTAACTTTGGGATTATGCTGTATGGAGTCAAGAACTGGCCTTGATCCTTGTATGTCCCTTCTAATGCAGAATGTTCAGGGATGACTTGGTATAGACTTGTCTTAAAGTATTAAATAGTGCTTAATATTTCGTAAAGATACTCTTATTGTGCTGGTTTGATTTACTTTTGTATTACCGGTTTATCTTTCTGCTGCAAACCTTTTAGTCTGGGCTTTTAGCCTCCACTTCCTGTTTTGCAGTAGTGGCTTAGTGTCAAAGTGAACTGAACGCTTTTTCACAAAAGCAGCTGCTGGTTATAGGATAGTATGAGCTCAGTGCTAGCAACAGTCCGATCAGTTCTGTTTTAGGAAGTGCCAGCAAAGTTGAGCTGCCGGAGGGACTCCATCTGAAGTGCAATAAATTACTTCAAAAAGTCACTGTGGCATCCTGGGACCCTGTACTAGCAGCTAGCTGTACAACCAGATTTTCAAAAAAGGTGTTCTGATATATTTGGTGGTAAATGGTACCAGTGGCTGTCTGCTTTGTTTCAAATGCAAGCTAGTATCACGGATCCATAGGATCTGTAAGGCCAAGAAAACCAGAAACATCTGCTTCTAGCTTAACTGAAGTACATGCTCTATCTGTCTAATGTGTGCTGGCAATTAAGGTTGTTAAAGTGATGGATAGAGGTAAGTAACCTGCCAAATTTGGTGAAGGAAATAACCCTTGTGGCCTTCCCTCTAAAGTTGCTAAAGCTGTTAGCTTGGTGGTGGTTAAATGGTCTGTAATAGGCTCTTGGTGCTGAAGGGTGAGACTTTACAGTCTCACCCCATGGAGTGGAGCTTTCCACGGGCTGAGCAGACACCCTAATTGGAGAAACCGTCAGTAAGAACTGCGCTGAGCTGTGCTTTGCCACTCTTCCCCGAGGCTTTGGCACCAATCCTGTGTATTGTCTCTTCATCTCCCACTGCTACTGGTTGTGCCTTAAACCTGATCTGTTACTGGTTAAGTGCCTACTTTATGCCCTCCGGCCCCTTCTCTTGGTAACAAAGCTCGGCTGCACGTTGCGGCAGGGCGGCTCGGACAGCACCAGGCCTATTGGAGCCCTGCGTGCTTCCGCCACTGGCGCTGGGGCCCCCCGGCCGCTCGCCGCTTCCTCGTGTCACATCTGCGGGCTTTGTTGGGCGGCGGGCCCGCCTCTTTCCTCCGAAAACCCTGCTCGCCCTCGTCCCGCCAACCGGGCCGCGGGGCGGGACTGACCTCCTGCCGCCCCCCCTCTCAGTGGCGACGTCATCGCAGCGCGCCGCTGCGTAGAGCGTGGGTCGGTCGGGGAAGGGGGAGCGGGCTGCCCTGGGGGCGGGGGCCTGCGCCGCGCAATGTCCGCGGAGAGGCGGCCGCGCCCGGGCCCGAGTGGCGAGGTAAGGGCGGCGGCGGCGGCTCCTCGCACGCCCCAGCTCCTCTTAGGCCGTTGCGAAACGGAGGTGGGGAGCCGCCGCCTCCGCTCAGCATGGGATCAGGAGGCGGCCTGCCTTGGCCCGTAGCGGCCCCGGGTTCCGCGGCGGGTTGCACCGCTGTCACTGGCTGCAGGGCCGGAGGAGTGGGGCGGGTGACTTGCACCGCGCTTCCAGTCAGGATGTAGTTCCGGGCGGGGGAGAAAGGGCATTCTGGGAGGGCAGAACGGGGAAGGAAGCTGGAGCTGATGCACGGCGGTTCCCTGCGCACCGCGTGGGCGGGCGTGTGTGTGTGTGTGTGTGTGTGTGTGTGTGTGTGTGTGTGTGTGTGTGTCTGTGTCTGTGTCTGTGTCTGTCTGTCTGTGTCTGTGTCTGTGTCTGTGTCTGTGTCTGTGTCTGAACCCCAGGCACCGCTTCCAGTGAGTGTGAGTGTGAAACCCGCTTCTTGCTCAGAGAGGGGGGAGCCAGCTGGAAGGACGGGCACACCCCAGTCACTAAAGATGGGTGCCCAAATTCTTACCAGTAACACGGGCGTTGCAACACATGGTCTGGTCAGGATTGGGAGTCTTAAGTGGTTAGCATGCAGTCACAGTTGATACCTGTGGTACGGTGTGTGTTCAGTGAATAAAGAGCCCTCAACCGTTGCTGACTAATGCTTTGTTTTAACTGCTTCCTGAGCTAATGCTGTTCATATATATGTGTACTCAGCTGTGCCAACTTCACGTTTTATTTGTCACTGTTACTAATGGATGTTCATTGTATATGTGGATATGCCTGGTAAATTCAAAACCAGAAAAATTTGTAGTTAGTTGTAATTTATGTTAGGCTGTCAGAGGTCTTCAATCGTTTATGATACAAGTGACTGCTGAACCAGCAGAGGATGCAGGGAGTCCACTTCATATGCTCAAGCACTGAAATTACCTTCCAAATGGTTTTAAAAGCCTTGTGCGTTGTTCAGTTACTGAAACTTTGTTTGCACAAGTGAAAAGAATCCCAGGTTTCATGTAGCGTGGCAGTTACCCTAAAATACACAATCAGCTAGCGAAATGACTAGTGTCATGTATTAGGGTGATTAAAGCTGTGTAATGTAATGTCAGTAAATACTGAGTCTCATTGCAGTGTCCACCTTCCACATATACATATCTAGTTTTACCAGTGGTGATTCAGAACAGATGGCAAGTACATCTTAAGGCTATGTAATGAAGTACTCATTTTGGACGGGCTACCTTAAAGTACATATGTACTCAAAGGCGTTCTTGTTACCTGCTTCCAGAGTTTGGTTTTACAGTAGTCCTACTGTATTTATGAATTGTAGCTTATCTTGTTCAAATCTAAAGTAAGAATTCATTTATTAGCATTTACTACATCTCTTATTAAGTAAACATTTGTGCTTTCCATAACTGACCTTAGTGCATATTTCGTGTTAAATGTATTAAAGAAAATAACTTTCCAGAGCAATCATGGTTCTCCTAGAATTCATTAGTTTTGTTTCTCTTTCCATTTCCTTTGGTGAGCTTTATTGTTTTGCATGTTTTGTTAGATGAGAGCAAACTAACGATTTCCTATGACAGTTAACGTCACAAGGTTGAGTATTTTTCACTTACAGCATTAATCTTCAGATGCATGTAGCCAAAAACCATTTTGTTTCTCAGGGCATCAAGTTGTCAGCAGAAGTCAAACTAGTTCCAAAACACGCGGAGGCAACTGTGGCATGGTCAGAACCCTCAGAAGCATGTGCCTTTCCTAGGTACTTAACTACATGCTACCCACTTGTTCAGGAACCATCTTTGGATAAGTATGTATATTTTCTGATTCTTATTTCTTGGGGGATTTTAATCTTGTTTTGAACATTGAATATTTTTATAAAGTCAAGGCTTTCATGCCTTAATATTCTAACTGTAGAAACACTTGTGCGTTGTCTTAATGCTTTAGGTTTTTGCAGTTGTGTTCTGGTGTATATCTGGTAATCTGTTTGTACTTTAGAAAGAGCCGAATCCAGTCCTTGAATGATTGTGTTATGACAAGGCTGGGGTAAATATAGTCACATAAAAGGAAGAGAAAGATCCTCTAAGAAGGTTTCTCATGCTGTAAAACATTTTAATGATGCATGGGGCTCCTCCTGGATCTCTGCTCCACAACCCATGCATCCTCAGGCAGTTTTAGTAAAAATGGTGCAAGTTTCTCAAAGGCTTTTTTTCTAATAAGGCCTGGAAAAAGAAGGCATTCATGGTAGACTTAAAAAAGTATTGTTAACCGCAGAGCAAGCTAGAAGATAGCCCATACAGCAGGATAGGAAATAATCAAGTCCTGTAAGAATCTTTTGATGTTACGTAGTTCTCTGGGTGCTTCTCAGAACTTTTAATCACTGAATTAATTTTGCAGTTTCTGCAAAGTTATTGGTGCACTGTAACAAGTTAGGTTAGAGCCTTAGTGAACACCTTCATTCTTTGTAGGCCTTTATTTTATCCTACATGAAATCTAAGTATTTTCAACCCATTTTGATTTGTAATAGAAATTTAACACTGAAGTATGGCCTGACCTGTGCATTACAAAAACTACAGCTTTAGCATTAAATTAATTAGCATTTAAAAACCACCAGCAGACAGCAATAATGTTCTGATTAATGTTTTCCCTTGTTGGGACTGAGCCATAGTTGTTTTTTTGATTGTTCATTTGTTCCTTCTCTGTGTGTGAACTATGATTGTAAGAA